AAAAGCTCGCATAATTTTTTTTATTTAAATTTTTAATCATGCAAGTGCTTTTATAAACTCCAAAGGAACTAACTTAAATGTTTAAAGGGCAATAACAAGCTCCAAAGTACAATCATAATAATAATACAGACCCAAAGATAAAATGTCTAATTATGTTAATGCACAACTTAACAAATTGTGTCATTTTCATATATTATTTTAAAAATTAAAATAAATCAAAAAATTTCAACAATGTTATTTACAATATTAACAATTTCAAACAAATAAATTTCAATAATTTCAACTACATGCTAAAAGGAAAGGATAGAAATGCAAGGCTTAAAATGACAAGCTTGAGTCTAAACCTGTTTTTAAAGAATTTATAATGGTTGGAACTAAAAGTTCTTTTATATAAAAATCTTTCAGTTTTTTCAAATCCGACATTCCAACAAACAAAAAAAAAAAAAAGGAAGGTCCAAACGGGTAGCCAGAAGCGCTCAATCTTAATTGAATTGATAACTATATTATATTGTATTATTGTATTTTGTCAATAATCAAGCTTTCTTGTGTATTGTTATGGATGATAAAAAGAAAAAACTATAAAATATACTAAACTTTCGTGTGTAAAAGAAAGAAACATTCCGGCCTTGAATGACTCGGCACGAGAATTTCCTTTATACAAAAGTCTATCTTTCTCACATGGCATAATAATAATTGCAACAATAGATAATTGGAAGATGGTTAATTAAGATGAAATTGGCATATTTATTTTTTAATTAGAGGGGCAGGTAGCCAAGCACTAACATTATAAAAATTACAAACAAGATTGAACCTGCAACCATCCACTTAACCAAAAAACAAAAAAACAACAAAAGAAAAGAAAAGAAAAAGAAAAAACTTACATGCCAATAGAATATAAAGTCATTGGCAAAATAGCACATTAATCCTCATCAATATCTTGCCTTGTTAAATACTTTGCCTATTTTCATTGCTCAATTTCTAGCATGCATTGAGATTAGTATACTACATAACTTACATCCCAAATGATGATCATGGATGTAAAGTTTCTTGTTGCTTTCATTATTGATCAATTTGACTATTTGAAACTAAAAACTAAAATGCTTTCAGAATTAATTAAGTAGCGGATCATTATTATTTTTCTCAGTATTTAATTTGATCTTCACACAAAACTCTGTAGCTTAAGATATATAGATTTGTCCAAAAGGATAGATGTAAAAATATTGTGAATCACCATGATTCGAACACGTTTATTAAAAGACCAATATAAATCCACATCATTATTACTACTATAAATGAATGGCATATGCAAATAATTTTATTTTAATACAGTTATCTGACAATCTGATGATATATAATTGAAGATTATGAATATCTAATTGTATGGGTGGTGCTTTTAATATGAATTTTTTTTCTTTGGTATCTACATCCTTTAATCTTAATGAAAGATAACTGAGTTCCTCAAGCATTCCCTCAATGACAATTGGTAAACTCATTTTATTTTCTGGGTGCTCTCTTTTCATTTTTAATTAGTTTCACATCTGGATGAATAAACACGTCCAGTCTAATAAAACAAAAACACCAATACAAAAGACAAGCTAATTATATTGTCTGAACTGACAACGTTCTTTTGATTATTAAATAATATAGGTGATTATCTAAGAATGGGACAATGACATTAAATTAAATTCCATAAGAGTAAACAGTTATGTTTATGACAATTACTTAAAATAAATTATAATTATTGGTTTAAAAAATTGTAAATTCAAAAATCTCAATTATAAATAAATTAATATAATATTTATGTTTTAAACGTAATTATCAATTTTCAATTAAAATTTTTGTCTGTAATTGTTTAAATCAATATTTATAATATTTTAAAAAAAATTCAAAAACCCAATTATCCTTCATTGGCTTTTCTCGAACCTACGACAATCCCTCTGATCACGGTATTCAAAAGTCACTGCCTTGTCACCTTGGATTGTTGAAACATTAAATAATTGATTGTTTATGGACACAAGCAAGGAAAATGTAAAAAGGAACAAGAACAAGAAGAAAACATGAAGATTGGCAACTTTTTTCTTTTATTTTGGTTTTGTCAAAGGAAAAAAGTCTTAACATGCAGACTTGTGGGTGATGAGTGATGACCACTGTTTGTACGTACTCATCATTTATAATAATTTTATATCATCAGATACAACAAAGGAATTTGAAAATTTTCAAAGTAATATTATTTAATAATTTTTTATAAAATAATCACTCATATATACACCTGAAACATATAATTTAGCCTTTGATTTTGTCCAATTATTTATTCAAAAGCAATAACAAATTGGTGCAAGACATGGATTTAGACTTCAATTTGAATTGTTCTCTTTAAATACATGATCAATTTTATAACACGTCTGTAATTTTCATAGGATTTAGAGGAATTTGACTTTTAAATTATATGACTAGTAGTATTTGAAATTTCAAACTCAATTTTTATATAATATTTTCTTTTAACATTTGAAAATAATTCAATGTTGCTTCAACTATTAATAAAAATTAACTTTAATTATTTTTTGGCTAAAAAATTATAAATAAGTACCATATAAAAAAAATTAATACCAACTAAGTTCTCTAAAATAAAAATAAATATTAATAGACAAATATTTCTTTTACATGCAAAAGACTAAAATTTAATTTTGACCAGGCATTTTCATCAATTACTAGGTGATTATCAAAACACTTATTGACACCAACCTAGGAAAATAATATTATCTTATTAAAATATTGGTATTTTAATATTTATTAGTTTAACTATTATAATTATTATCTATAAATATTCCTCCAAATTTATAAATCCTTTTTTAAGAAAATTAGTTTCTCAAGTAGTGTATCTGAAATTTGTATATGAATGTTTTTAAACAACTCAACTATTATTATTTGTAAAAAAAAACAGCATTCACTTTTAAATCATAGATACACTAATTAAGTTATAATTTTTGGAGAAATTGTAAACCTCAAAAATTAACTTGTAAATTGTGTCATAAGATTTGTAAATAATATTTAAATTATTAATGTTTTAACAAGATATTTGGTTGCAATAAATACTTTTTCAAATGATATTAGGTCAAAGTAGCTTATTAAAATGGCATTTTGGATTTTATATAAGAAATAAATTACATTTATCTCTTGGTATTTAGTTTTGATTTATAAAATTTTAAATTAATTTTTTTATATGATACTTATTTATAATTTGTGTGTCATTTTCTATAATTTTTGTGGTTTTTTTTTATAATTTTCTAATTTACTATTGTCAAAGTTAACGTGTTTTAATGGGAGGAGTGACCTTATAATATTTTTAAAAATTAAAAGGAAACATCACATAAAAAAATGAGTTTATTATCTCAAACGCTCTTACACCTAAAATTGTCATTTAACCCATTCTCATATTTAACAATTCTTAAATGGGTTAAGTGATAATTTTGTCCTTAAACTATAAGCTTAAGAGATATTAGAACTCAACTCTTTTTTAATACAATGTTCTTTTTTAACATTTGAAAATAATGTAGTGTACTATTATCAAAAGTTAATTTTGACACATAATTGACCAAATTATAAATTTCAAAAGTTAACTTATAAATTGTGTGTGAAGATTGATAAATAATATTATTATTTAAATTGTTAATATTTTAATAAGATATTACTAAAAAAATATATTATTTCTTAATTACTTGTGGATGTTGGTATCAATGATGACAATTCGATAATCATCCAATAGCCACTTAAAGTACTTGGTCAAAATTAAATTTTAGTCTTCACCATGTAAAAGAAATAACAATTGTCTCTTGGATATTTATTTGTAATTCATAAAACTTAATCATTTTAATATTCTCATTTGGTACTTAATTTTTGCATCTTTTTTTATGATTTTCTGATTAGCTAATTGTCAAAATTAAGTTTTTTTAAGGGACAATATTATACAATTTTTAAATATTGAAAGAGAACATTGGTACACCAAAAAATAATTTAGAATCCTAAATATTCTTTAACCTATAATTTAAAGGCAAAATTATATTTAATCCTTCTCAAACAAATTATACAACCAAAATAAACGTGGACGTGACATATAATTCTCATATTCAGCAAACGGCATCCCTTTTCATGTCGAAGGAAAGTTTCTTTAAGCAATTAATGTTACGTTTCATAAAAGAATTCATACACCTTTAAATTATACATTACTAGATTTTTAGATTTTATCTCATTTGTTTATTCAAAAGTAATAACAATTTGGTGTGGGGCCATGGATTTGGATCTGGGATTTGTATATGTAAAGTCTTGAGAGTTTTCATTCCTATGGTAATACTTAATGTTTAAAAAAGGTTAAAATTTCATTTTAAAAAGATATTGAAAATTTCTTCCAGGATGAAGAGATAAAAACTCTACTCTTGTTCAGAAGACTTATTTGACTGAACTACATTTGAACACTAAAGAATTGGTTATTTAAATCATCTGAAATTGAGATCTATACGTACATGTCTATTAAGCTTGCTTTTTAAAAAAAGAAAAGTAAGATTTTATATTTTATATTTTATAAAAAATAAAATGATGAAAAATACTAAAAATATTTTTTTTTGGGGAGGGGGGAACCTTCACTTAAAGTTACATATTTTAACTTAGAGCATTTAAATCCGAAGAAATTGAATCAAATTAACTTGGGTTAGATCCTTCGGTTTTTCCCTTCTCTTTCCATAAAGTGGGGGGGGGGGGGGGGGGAGTGCGTAAAGGAAAGAGAACGTATAGGCCTTAAATGAAGGAAAAGAGAATACAACATTAGAATGACACAGCACAAAAGGTCTGTTCCACTAAGTCTCTAGCTCGCAGAGTCAACAACAATTGACGAGTGCAAGATGGTTAAGAGGAAAATGACAATTGAATCCTCATCTTGGCTTATTAATACTTAGCCTATTTTCATTGGTCTCTTGCATGCATTGAGATCAATATACTAGATACGAAACTTATATCCAGAATGATGATGATGATGATGGATGTGAGGCTTGTTGTTGCTTCCATGGTGCTTTTGGGGCATATGTCGTCAATGGCTTTTGCAGTGAGGTGCAAAGAGAGTGAGAGACTCTCACTTCTTGCTCTCAAACAAAGCTTTGTTGATCGTGATGGCAAGCTCTCCTCTTGGAGTGATGCTGAGAACCAGACCGAATGTTGCAACTGGGATGGTGTTTTTTGCGATGAAGAATCTGGCCATGTGGATGAACTTTATCTATCTTCTTACAATCTGGAAGGTACAATCATTCCACCAGGATTGACTAAATTATATCATTTGAAATCGTTGGATCTTTCTGGAATTCATTTCAATCTAACTCAATTCCCAAGTTCCATTCTTTCTCTAAAGAAATTGGAATATCTCGACCTCTCTGATGTAAATTTGACTATGAAAATTCCTTATCAATTGGGAGATTTGTCCTCCCTACAACAATTGAGTCTAAATGGGAACCACCTCGAAGGTAGCATACCCAAGTCCTTGGCTTTATGTAGTTTAGAGGAGTTAGATCTAAGCAACAATTCCTTGAGTGGCCAAATAGATGACTTTGTTGCATCATTCAGCCATTGTGCTGATGTATCATTGGTAATATTAGATTTATCTAATAACCAATTTTCATGGCCCCTACCAAAATTTTCACAAATCTCATCCTTGCAAGATGTAGATGTGTCTCACAATCGGCTCATTGGAACTCTGAATGATGATATTGGACTTCTTTCCAACTTAGAACACTTTGACGTTGGATATAATTCTGTGGGAGGTGTCATATCTGAAACCCATTTCTCGAGGCTCTCTCAGCTATATTATTTGGACTTTTCTTTCAATCATTTGATTTTTAAAATCAGTCCTCATTGGACTCCCCCTTTTCATGCTGGGCACATTGGCTTAGCATCTTGTGAGTTGGGCCCTGGCTTTCCAATGTGGCTTCAAACCCAAATATTGTGTGACGAAATAGATATTTCAAATGCTGGAATTTCTGGTACAGTTCCAAGTTGGTTTTGGAATTTGTCTTTTATAAGGCTAAACCTTTCGCACAACCAGATTATTGGTGAAATTCCTTATTTTTCAAGACCAGAGGGTAAACTTCTATATATGGATCTTAGTTCAAATTTGTTTCGAGGCTCAATTCCTTCATTTTTATCATATTTGCTTGAAGGTTTGGATTTGTCCTATAATAAAATTACAGATGCTACCTCTTTCTTATGCCCAAGCACTACCACAAATATTAGCCTTATAGATCTCTCAAATAATCAATTGTCCGGTGTGCTTCCAGATTGTTGGGAGTATTTTGATTCGTTGGTCTTTCTTAGTGTTGCAAACAATAGCATCTCTGGAAAAATTCCAACATCTATGGGCTCCTTAAAAGAAATCCAAGCATTACATTTAGACAACAACAAGTTTATTGGTGAAATACCTTTGACTTTGAATAAATGCAAGGAGTTGAGAACACTTGATGTTGCACAAAATGAACTTACGGGATTGATACCTACTTGGATTGGTGGGCTTAAAAAGTTACGTTTCCTTATCATGAGATCCAATATGTTTTTTGGAAGTTTACCTTACAATATTTGCCATCTTTCCCAACTTCAAATCTTAGACATCTCCTTGAATAGTGTGTCCGGAAGTTTACCAAAATGTCTCAACCTTCTTTCTACTTTGGCAAATGAAAAAAATCACGTTGCAACTGTAAGCTATTATTTTGATTACTTTGATGAAGGCGATGACGTGATGCAGAACTATTATTCAACAAAGGATAGTGCATCATTGGTGTGGAAAGGAAAGGAGTCTATGTACCAAAGCATATTAGGATTGGTCAAAAGCATTGATCTCTCTAGCAACATGCTAACCGGAGACATTCCGAGTGAAATGATGGATCTTGTTGGATTGGTTTCTTTAAACCTTTCAAGAAATATGATCAGAGGACAGATCCCGGCAGCCATCGGAAAACTGAAATCATTGGACTTTCTTGATCTGTCAAGAAACCACTTGTCTGGAAACATTCCTTCAGAACTTTCACATTTAGATAGGCTTGGTGTGATGGATTTATCATACAACAATTTGTCTGGAGAAATCCCAATTGGCACTCAGCTGCAAAGCTTCGATCCCTCTTGTTATGCAGAAAATGCAGGACTTTGTGGTGCTCCTCTTCCTAAATGTCCTCAAAAGCCAACAGAGGATAATCAAACTGATAAAAGTTCTGAAGAAGATGAAACATTCTTTGATGGGGGCTTTTTCATTAGCTTGTCAGTCGGATTCATCATGGGATTTTGGGGAGTTTGCAGCTTAATATTTTTCAACAAATCATTCAGATATGCCTATTTTGGGCTCATGGGTGGTATATATGACAAAGTGTACGCGTTGGTTGCTATAAATGTGGCCAGATTGCGCAGATCAAACCGAGCTTCATCTTGAAGGTAGCTAGCACAAGCCCTTATCTCTCTTGTAAAGAAGAGCATTGATTTTTTTTTCTTTTAAAAGATCAGCTCTTAAAATGTAGTGCTTTAATTTCCTCTGCGTGTTAACTGTGCAATTTTTGCAGCACTTGGCTTTGTCGTCTAACAAGTTGATTAACCTCTGTTCTGTAAATTAATACAGTCAACGCCTGGTGGCAGCTGCCGGACAAGGTTGCCCAGTATACTTCAATCACAAATAAGGCATTTGCTTTGTTTCATTGTTCTTGCCTTAGGTTTCTGGTTTTGCTCCTCTCAGAATGTCTTGTGTCAGTAACTTCTTGTTGGTCTGGCTTACTGGCTAGGTTCAATTTGGTGGTTTGATGTTTTTCTTTTTGATACCAATTGTTGTAAGCAAGATATTTCTCCGTAGTGTGGGTTATCAAGTAATTAAAGCAAATTTCTGGGCAATGCGGATGTTAAGACAAATATTCATTTGTTGTATCCTAGAATTCCAATTCCTATTATTTTAAAAGACAAAATTGCATCCCTTTTAAGTACTATATAAGAAAATTAATTATCTATAGGTCTCAACTACTTATAAATACTGAAGTTTAACTTGTAAAAAAGTTAAAATATTTTTTTTTAAATTTGGATCTGATCATAATTTTCTCTTAAAAAAGGTACGATATTGTATTCTAAAATAAACTAGACTTTTATAAATTGATAGAAAGTGGGCTTTGTTAAATTTGGTCCAGATTCCTTTATGGCCCAGGTTGTTTTCAATATCTTTAATTCGCAGTTTTGCGCCTAGTCCAGATAGATTAGAAATGTTCGTGGGCAGCCTGAACAAATTGAATTTTTGGAGGCAAATTTAATTTAAAATAAACAAAAAAAAAAGTTAAATTCAAGTTAAACTATTATTAGGGCTTAAGCCCATTTTTCTTAAAAGCCCAACCCTAATTCCCCAATCTTGTTCAATTGAAATTAACTAGCCATTTACTAACAAAGTTGGGTCTAACTAGCGAAAGAGGTTAGTTTTTCATAACATAATAAATTAATATTTAAATCCCCGCTAAAGAGACGATCAAATTTCTTGCTTGACTATGCCTTCAAGAGAACTGCCTCCAATAGGAGAATGCTCATGAGCAATAAACAAAAAATAGTCATTCTAAATAGACTTTCTTAGGTAGACTTTTTAAATGGGTTTCAAGTTAAGGCTTAGGCAGATTTAGGCCTGAGTTGTGAAAAAAATATTATATAGACTTCAAGCCAAAATCAAGTTTCTAGCCTACCATGCAAGCATAGTCTTATTTTATCAAAGTCTGGTTTGACTTGACATACTTCTACCCTAACTCTTAACTTACCCCACTTTGATCATCATCATCATTTCTTATCACATTTATGAGTTATTGGTTTATTATGGGTTTTAATTATTTTTTTAATCACCTTGTTCTAAAGTGTTGGCGAGTACTCTCACCATTTAATATTATAAAACATTTTTTTAAAATATTTTGTTTAAAAATATAAAACATTTTGAGACTTTTTAATATGTGATTAATCAACTTTTTTTTAAATACCCTTGATTAAAGAGTATAGTTAATAAGATTTTTTTAATTGAGATAATATATCCTATTAAATAAGGTACAAATAAAAAAATGATATAATTTTAAAGATGATTAATTAATTTATTAAAGGATATAATTTGATTAAAAGTGTAAGGAGGAGTATATAATGTTGAAGGGCATTTATAAGGGTCGTTTCTGTTCAAATTTGTGTAGCTCTTAAACGCATGACTCAGGCCTGTGACATTGAATTCAGTAGTACACAATACCAATCCGAGAAAATATTTTGGAACGTAGCTAACATGTTAAGATTTTAAAAATTCTATAGTTAATTTGGACCTATTTGTCACTCTTGCCACCCTGAAGTAAACTTTTAGACCGTGTGGTGTTGGATATGATACTTGTGTGTGTCATTATTTTCCTGGCAAGCTTCATTCTTCTCCCATTTCAAGCACCTGTGCTTATAATTATAGGCATGCGATAACCCTCCTACATGCATTTTGTTGTGTCAGGTGCATTATTATGATTGAAATCGAAGCTTGTTCATTGTCTAGCTTAGATGTATTTTAATTTTTATCAGTTTAAATGCAAGAGAAATACTGACAAAAGAACACTGATAACAGATCTCTGATCTGAAGCTAATGTTACAACTTCATCTGGATTGGTCAAGCATCTAGATGCTCTCATAATTATCATCACCTACTTGGTTTATTCAAGTTTTGCAAATTGATGCTGCTTCATCTTTTTTTTCCTGTATGGTGTTGATCGTCTTGCATATCTGACAAAGATCACTAGCAAATTAAATGAAAGTAAGGTATTGGAAACAGGTCAGAGTACTATTTTAAATGTTAAATGGTTAAAATTGTAATTAAATCTTAGTCAAATTAATCATGAACAAAGTATTTCATTGAACCAGTTAATGCATTGTTTTAATGGTTTATTGATTGAACCAACTCAACTAACCTAGATTTATATACTGTCATGAAGCAGAGTTCATATAAACCTAGTATTACCCATATCTCCTCATTACCCTGAGCTGGGGAATGAGGTAGAAAGAGAGAGCTTTTATAGGATGGTTACATTATAAATACAGTTCACAAGCATGCATTCAACTCCAAGATTAGAACACACAATTTGAATTTCTTAGGGAGAACTACACACTGGCTCTACAGGACAAAGATTCATGTGCAACTTGTCTAGCCTCAAATTCAATTATCTACACAGAAAATGTTTCTAGTTTTACAAGCCAAGAGCACCGAGAGGTGTCTTCCCTTGTCCTGCTTCAAAGTAGAAGATCAGCATAGCCAACATAGCAATCCTAGCATGCTTGATCTCAGCAAGTTTCAGTCTTTCAAGCTTTTCTCTGTCAGGAATGTAAACCCCATCCTGGATTTTCCCTGCGAATCCCAATGGGTCAAAGAACTTGCCGCCGGGATATCCCTGGTCGCCGGTGGAGTTAGCGAAGTTCTCGGCGGTTCTCGACCACGGCGTGGCCCAATCCACTGACTGTGAATCAGGGTTGAAGAAGTCCACCCACCTTTTGCTTTCTACCCACCCCATGAGCAGCAATTGTGTGCCCAGAAGTGAGCCGAAGGAGAACGGAGCAATGGCGCCAGGGTCGGCTCCGGCCTCGAACCACGGCACTCCACTCCATGCCTGGCCGACAAAGATGCCGACAACCGCCGCCATTGCCCACCGGCCATGGATGAGCTCTGCTTCTCTGTACCACTTGAGGAATGCTGGATCCTTGCCTAGTCCAAGAGGGTCAAAGCCATAGTCACCAGGGAGCCTATAATAGCAATATTTCAACAGAGATTGATCAATGAACAGAAAATACCAGAAAAGCTCAGGTGAAATTTCCAGATACACTCAGTTTGCACAAAATATAGCAGAATTCCGTGTGAATGCAATGTAGAAAACAGCCTTGAGAGAGCTGCCCCTCTATAACTCGATAATATAACTTCGTCATGTAACCATATAAAAAAAAAATTTCAAGAAGACCTATGAGATATCTGATCACATCAGAAAATACCAGAAAAACTAAGGTAAAACAAAATATAGTCTCAAACGCAGAAAACAATTTTGGGAGAGCTACCCCTAATTACACTCAATAATGCTTGAATCTTGAAACTGACTCGGTCCAATAACGGTACAAAAACTGAAGTAAAATTTCCAACTCAGTTTACACAAATAGTGTTTGAATGCAGAAAGCGGCTTTCAGAGAGCTACCCTAATTAGACTAGAAAATGCTCAAATCTCAGTCACGTAGATCATATCATAAACACTTGTGTACTGGCAGCATGTTTGTCTGATATGTAGATGTATGTTTTCATGATTGATCTGTTTAACCTATGGTTTTATAACACGAGTGTTTGTCTGAAAATTTTCCTGGAAAATGAAAGAAACGAAGATGATTATGGGAGGGACTTACGAGCCATCTAGCCATTCAGGGTCGATGAAGTTGCCACCACCTCTAACACCAGGAATCCAAGATTTCTTAGGTGCAGCAGCAGCAGCAGCAACAAAGAACCTCTTAGGGTTTGCAGCATTATTATTAGCAGAACCAGATTTAGCAGCGAAGAGAGATTGGCTTCTCTTTCCTCCACACAAGAAGGAAGATCCCAAGCCATTCAATACAGCTCCAGATGTTGCAGCACCTGCCATCTCCGCTTTTCTTGCTCTGAAACTTTTCTCGAGAAAATGACAGAGACAGATTGCGCTCGTAGTAGTGTGTCTTCTGGGGATACTGATGAGTGTTTTATTTATGTATGGGCGTGCGGGGGTGAGAAAATCTAAAGGGGTTTTCTTAGTGGGCCAAGTGGGACGAGAAAATCTGCAGCAGAAATCTGAGAAGCTATCGTGGATAGATTTTGGACCAATGAGAACTAGTTCCTCCCATCCTCATCTCTTGTCGCTTCCATCCACGTGGATTACCACTTCACCACTACTGTTCTATTATCATCCTATTTTTGTTCCATCTCTCCAAGATGAAAAAGGATAATGTTATAAAGGAGGAACTTAAATTTAAGATATTTACGCTGAAGGATTCTTGATTTTTGAAATTATTCTGAATTATTTAAGGACTCAAAATTTTGAGAATGAATTGTAAAATTTTTTCTCTAATTGCGTTGAATTACCATGATTTTTTATATATCTAAAATTATTATATATATTTGTCATTTTCCACTTATTTTTAAAAGCAAACAAATTATGGGGTTTTTTTTTGTCACAAGTAATTTTTTAACATATTATTTGACACATAAAATTGAAAAAAATAAAATATGTGTCAGATTACTATTTGTCTCTTGCAATGTTTATGAAAAAAATCTCGGTTAAAGGTATGGAAATGTCCTGCATGAAATTTCTGTTAATGGGGATGGATCTGTGATGAATGAAATAAATAAAAGTAAAGGAAAAAGTTGCACGCAGCATCTTTTAAGCATAAGCAGTACTTTCCTTTGAACTTAATTTGGCAACATCTATTTTATTTTTTGGATGCAAGTTGAGTTAATAATGAATTTCTTTTAAGACATAATGATGACTTTTGAATATGATTTGTACTAGTAAGACTTAAGTCAAGACAATAATAATTTTTATAAAATGATAATTTGACTTTGTCCTTGGTGAATTCAAAAACAAAGTTAATGAGCTTCAGTAGTTGGATTCTTAATCTTGGATCTTTTAAATGATTAAATGAGTGATAGTAAGGGGTATTTGTAGACATTAAAGTTATGCCTTAAAGTGGTATCTTTTAAGTAATAAAAATCTCATTAAAAATTATAATTAAAGTTGGTTCATGGATAACCTTATATTAATTCTTAAACATTCCTATGTTAGTTCATGAATTAACATAGTTTAATAATTAATATTAACTTAGGATTATTTAAAATAACTTTCCATAAAAAATATCATTTTAAATAGTTTTAATGTGTAAAGTATTTTTAAAATATATTTCTTTTCATCAAATGACACTTTTTACTGTTATAACCCTCCAAAGATATTTTTAGAAGTTAAAGAGACATAACATTGATAGCTATAATTCTCTATATAATCTTTCATAAAAATTCATTAATTTATAAGGACATAACTCTTTAATTTATAAAGACATGATTTTTCAAAAGGACATGACTTTTTAAAAAGATCTCTTTATTTTAAAAATATTCCAACAATTTCATGGTGTATGTTCAAAAATCAAATTTATGTGAAAAATTCATATTACGTATTATTAAATTATTATTTGATAAAAATATAAAATGTAATTTTATATATTAAAAATCACAATACTTAAGCAAATATATACTGAATAGTTTAAAATTATATATATTAATTAATACAAATGTTTTACTCGTATTAATGACTATCGTCGTGAACAACTCCATTTGCAGCAAGGACCAAAAACATCACATTCTAAAAGAAAGAAAAAGGGAAATCTTCATGGAAGGATTATGGACGTGATATATTTTTAAATCATATCTAAAATATTTTAAAATTTTATCATAGGATGATGGGTATAAATTGAAACAAATTATAACATGAAATGATCAAAACATCCTTCCTTAGAACTCATTCTATCTTTATATATAATGTATTTTTCATAAGCTTGTTTCGTCTTTAAATATAAAGAGTGTTGTAACACTTCAAAATTTCATTTTGATTTTTCATAAGAATACAATTAGTTAATTAATTAAAGTTTTAAAATTAAACACTTATCATAATAGAAAAGTGTCTACTATCTAATAAAGAAAAAAATCATTTTTCCAAAACATTACATGGTAAATAAAGATTTATCATAATAAAAAGAGCTTTAGAGATAATATTCAAACCCTACCATGCTGGGAAGGGCCTACTATAGTAAGTAAAAATTAAAATTATTTTTATAAAGTTTACCATGATAGAAAAATCTTTTCTTACAATAAAATATTGCTCAATATGGGCTACCATGATAGAAAATAATCTACTATGATAGAAAAGGTTTAAACAAAATAAAATAACCCTACCATGATACTTTAGGAAAAAAGCAATATAAATAAAAAGAAATAATTAGTGCATTAAGCTAATTAATTTGTACCTAATGGGATTCCATTGAAGATTAATAGTTTAAAATCAATAAATAATAAAAAGAGAATTTAAAAGCAAAGCATGATTCTCAAGGGACTAATTTGTCTAAAAATAACTTGAAAAGAGGTAAAAAAGAGTCAAAAAGACCATTTCGGAAGTTAAAAACTTCACAAGGGCAATTCTAAAAAACATTGTGCCATATGTCAAGGCATACATGCCACATATTATGGCATGTGGCACAGAGAGAGAAATCTACCTTCTATAACATATGCCGTGACATATATATGCTGCTATGCAAAGTGTCATATTCAGCATTTTGATAACATGAATATTGATGGGGAATTTCAAACAGGCATAATTTTCTCTACAAATATCCAAATTGAATTTTTCAAATGTCCATATGAAATTTATCAAAAAAAAATATAGCTAATTATTTTAGTTTAGTATAAAAATTCATTCAAATGAGGATTTTATCTACAATATGCCTTTTAGGGACAAAACACACTTTTACACTTTACAAACCTAAAACCAAAGTCAATGGCTAATGTATAATTCACTTGACCCACTCAAATCCATTTCAAGCAATTATTTTACATTAGCAACTTGACACATACATATATAACTCTCATAACTGAGTTATTGTCACCCAACACTATATATATATATATAATGATATAACCTGTGGCATAAGAAATTTATTTTCATTCAAATACCTAAACAAGCATCATCAAAGGTCATGAGTGTCATCAAAAACTACTCCATGGCAATCACATAAAAAGTTAATCAAATGTGTGAGAGTTACATGCTCATTTACAAAACAAGTGCCTTAAGGTTGGCAATTGTACATAAATTAACCAAAAGGACATCAACAAGCCCAAATGGTGTCTACGCACACCAAGCTACGGTTCTAGTGCTTCTCCAACTAAACTCTTTCTTGTAAAAATGATAACCAAAATAAGTGAGACACAAAGGTCTTAGCAACCAAGACTAATATGCAATGCAACTAACCATGTGATTATTAAGTAGGGCATATGACAATGATTTTCAACCAAATTGTATTTAGCATGACAACATCTTATATCCCTCCTAACACTATACTTAGAATCAAATCACCCAGCCAAATGTGGGTTGGTCCAAGCTAATAGCCATTCATTGAGTTCAATGAGGGCTTATCACATGGTAGAAATACAATTCCAAACAAAATCCCCAACAATATGGTATTTTCCAAACAAATCTCAACATGTCATGCATATTTCCAAACAAATCCAAAAAAAAATACAACCAAACAATATCGTACTTACGAACAAAATTTATTTCAAACATAACATATATAGATACATAATTCATTTCACTTGGAAAATAATTTTTGAATAACAAAACATGCTTCCTTAACATAATTTATGTAACATCCTAGAGATTTAAACTCGATTGGCTAAGAGTATTTAGAGTAATTAAGTATATTGATGTGTTGTATGGCTAAAGGGGTCTAATGAATGATTTTGATTGTGGTTTCAGCCTTAAATTTAGGCCTAAAGCAAAGTTAGGTCATTAGGGTATCAAAAAGGAAGAAAATTTGAAAGGTGTGTCTTTGTGCCACATGCCATGAAGTACAATATGTCTGCTGCTACGTATAGATGGCAAACAATGAAAGATGATCTCTCTGTGTCATGCACCATGGTGCATAGTCAAAAATTTACATAAATAAGTCTACATCAGAGTTTAAAATCAGAAAGAAAGGAAAAAGAAAACAAAGAGCATCTATCAAGCTCTGTTAGGGTTTGAGTTTGAAGATCCTTAGAGATGTTTTGGAGCTTCCAAACACTAAAAGTAAGTCTCTTATGCCTTCTTCCTTCATTCTTCTTCCATTTTTATAAGTATTTGAGTTGGGAGAATGATTTTCGATCTATATAAATTATGAATCCAAACCTATTGATTACAATAGAGTTAATTAGAGTGGTTTAGGTTATTATTAATGATTTTGCACACTCGTGATAGTTTAAGGTCATCAATGGCTGAATTTAAGTTATAGTGAAGGTTGTTAGTAGTGTTTAATGGCCATTAAGATGGTTTAATGATTTATTAATAACAATGTGAGCTAAAGGAACCTAGTAAACCAAAAAGGTACATTAGAAAGTAAGTTGGTGATTTTAGTAAGTTGGGAATGATGAGATAGAGTGTTGGAAATCATTCAAATAGAGATATTAATGATTTTCCTCATAGTCAACCAATTTGGCACCATTCAAGCTTGTGAGGAGCTTTAGAAGTTTGTGTTTTAAGGGTTAAATATTTGACTTCTTAAAAGTTTAAGGTAACTAAAGAAAAATTTAGTTTGTATAATTGCTTGCTAATTGATTAATTTTTGAATTAATTGTTTAAAAACTTATTGGATATTTGTAGACTCACTAATGCAAAATTGTGGCAAGTTATATATTGGGTGAGTAACGTGTTGGAATCAAGAAAATGATTTGTGTTATGCATGTGTTTTTAATGCTATTGATTAAGAACTTGTATATACGAATATAAAATGAATAACATGATACAAGGCGTATGATGAGATTTATGGAGAATGACGGTGATGGTTTTGTGATGAATATGATGTGATGGTTGTCAATAGTTTTGCATATTATGTGTTAATGTATGTATAGCATGATCATTTATGACAAGAGTTTGCCTAAGGAGAGAAGTAGTGTTAAA